AAACCCGGGTGGGAATGGCGATCCCAGCGCTTGCAGCCCCTCCTGGGGATGGAGCCGATCCCGCCGGGAGGGTTCTCGCCGAAGCTGATGGAAGATGCGGCACGGGAACGCTGCGTGATCTTTGCTATGCTCACTAGCAGGAACCAAGCGTCGAGACTGAAGGGTCTTTACAGGATTTGTCTATCCAAAGGCTGAGGGATGCTTTCACTTAGGATCAAATTGGAAGGACAGAACACAAAGGGTAGGGAGCAGAGGGGGAGGATTCAGGCTGAAGGTCCTGTAGTTTTTCCCTCTCTCCCTCCCTCCAAGTTTTTCCACTAATCAGGAAAGCTTTGTGTAAAAGCTCTTACTCTGAAATCAGAGGATCAAAAAAGGATTGCAATGGTGGAATGTTACAATCTGCTTCCACGGCGATTAGTGTCATCAGATGGAAAAAGCCTCTTGGATAACACAAACTGAAAGAACAAGTGTGCTATGTGTATTCTCAGGTTGCCCTCAAGTGTAAGAATCCCTCAAAACATAACCAACAAACACGAACAGAAGTCAGTGCATAAATTCTGTGTTAAAAATACTTCAAACTGAAGGAACTCTAACTGGGGCCTACACTCCTAGAATACTTCTGGAACAGCTATACAACATGTCATGAAACATCCTGGTCCCAAATAGCCTCAAAGATTAAAATTTAGTTTTCTTTATCTATTTTACAATAAACTTGTTTTACTTCTGCCTGGTGAGATTGCTAAAACCCCTCAAACCCCACCCCAACCCCGCAGAACCGTCTGAGGTCACTGAGAAGAGCCTGCCAGAGTTACTGGTACAATTCAGAGCTTATTGCACTTAGACATGAGTAAGGCAAAATAACAAACTAAAAATAAAGGGATAAACTGCCCCCTTCCCCAGAAACCAATGCCATCCTCTCCGTCCAGAGCATTCCCATCTTCCCTCACACTGAAAACAGGGCATGGGAGCATTTCAGGATCTCCTGCTTGCAGGAGTGGGAAGGGCCGGAGGAGTCAGAGTATTTCAGAATGCTAAAAAGACTCCTCAAAAGTGGTGATACACCCACGACTGTTTGGCATTCAGGGTTTCATCTTAGTGCTGCCAAACACAGAAGTGGAAAATAAAGTTATTACTACTAGGGGAGGGAAAAAAAATCAAACATTGGGCCTTGGGATAAGTAAAGAAGTAGGATTTTTTTTTCCTCATATGTATTGAAGAAAGCAGCATTTCCTTGATTCTGTTCTGCTGAGTTGATTGTCTAAAGCTGATATCAACATAAGGATAGTTACAGTAAATATTTGAGTTCATTAAATAACCAGAGCTCTTTACATTAACAGTATCCTCTATGATTTATAATAACCAACAGATATCCTAGCAAACTGCAGGATTTTATAAGTAGTTTTTCTTACAGCACAAAAGGAAATATTTCAGTCAGCCTTGCAATGGGAAGAATATTATTGCTGAGCAGAACCACGGCCCCAGGCACCTGGATGTAACCAGGTGCCAACACCTCTCTTGCACACCAGCCTTTGCAACATCCCAATTTGTCCAGGGAGAATCACATTGTAATTATTAGTCAAAACCATTCCAGCTTTGTAAATTATGGGAAGTCTTAATTAATAAAGAACCAGGAAGTTGCAACCTGTGTCAAGAAGGATTCTGTAAGACTGACATGTACAGCTGGAGGACAACAGAGCTACAAGGGCCAGAGAGCCCCTAAAATGGAAAATCAACAGGTAAGTGCTGAATGCCCCAGCACAGGGCCTGACTGCAGCTTCTGGGCAGGCTTTAATTCATGTTTGTTAAGACAGAACAAAGGAATGCCCTGCAGAAGCCACAAATCCCAACTCACCACAAACCAGGAACTCTCTGGCTGCTCCTCATGCTGTACTCAGGTTACCTGCCATTAAATATCTCCCTCTGGGAGCAAGGGTGAGAGCAGAACATTTCATGGAAGAGTTTTGCACTTTTAAATATGGACTATTTCCATCTCCAAACAGACATTCAAAGAACAGTGAAGGGCTGGGCAGAAACAAAGGTGGCAGTTTATCCCACTTGGAAAAAAAAAATCAAAAACAAAACCAAAACAAAAAAATTCTAAGTCACCACATCACAAGACTATTTGAGCTAAAAATGTCACTTGGAAATCAAACAGGGCCACGTGGAAATTGGTCTGAACACAATGAAAAAAAGAGGAGGGAGGAGTTGTAAATACAGATCTCTAAGTCACACGGCCCCAGGAGGAGGAAGCTCCTTGGGATGCACGTGCTAACATTGGAGTGCTTAGTACCAGACTGTCTATTTGCTCACAATATTAAGGGGCATCTAGAATTAGCTATGGGAGGTTTAAAATCGCCTGCCAGCTGGACAGAGAAAGGCTTGATCCAGAGATGGTCCATCAGTCAAGGGTGTGCATTCCCTGGGCCTTCCTGATGACTGTCTTGCAAACTGAAACAAAGACACAACAGGGAAATGTTTCGGGGTGGCTCTGGGAGAGCAGTGTGCCAAGGGAGGGGGCACACAACCTTGAGAGAGCAAATGTGAGTCAGGCAGACATGGTTACACTGCAGCTCTGATCCACAGCAAATGCAGAGAGGAAAATCAAGTGGCTGAAGCTGCATTCAAAATTAAAATATTTCTATCAAGGACACTCCCTCAGCTTGTGTTCCCCACTTACCACCAAGCAACCAGCAGATAACAGAGGGCAAACAGAATAATAGTGAGTACTCCAGGAGGATGTGGTTCTGCCCCACCCCATTCCTTCCAAGGATAACTAGGATGGCATTTATTGCCCTAACAACCTGTTCTTCCCCACAGAAATGGATAATCCCTTCTTTCCCCTTGCTTTCTTACCTGTCTAGTACTATACAACACAATTGTATGTATATTGTACATGATATTGTATGTACTATACTATGTATATTGTATATGATATTGTATGTACTATACTATACAATACAATTTTTGCAATGTCTAAGAACAATTTGGCTAAACTAGCCCCCAAACTGATGACATATTTAACAGAACAGAAAGAAAACAAATCAAAAGCTTTAAAATGGTCATTGCTGCTTCTCCTGCAATGCCCAAGTGTTACTCCAAGCCTTGGTCCATTAGTAAATACTACTAACAAGCAATGGAAAAAATAAATTCCTCACAAAATGCTCAATTTCCCACTTATTCTAAGCATTTGCACATCTAATTTTTTTTGAGGCTGACAAAAGTTTCTCTGCAAGTCATGGAAAGTAACATATGCATTACAGAAAGAATAGCACTAAACTACAGAATATTCCAACACATTTTTCTTACACTTTTCACTCAGACTTTTCTTTAGAATAGTTCTGAAATGAGGCAGTAAACCTCGCTCCTCAACCTGTCAGTGAAATGGCTTCACTATAAAAACAATCAATAGCACAGATTTACTTGTCAGAAGATATGAACAGGATCATTTCTCACACAAATGTTGGGGGTTTTAAACCAAACAGAGCAATAGAGATTTTTGACAAATCTCTTGATACCTACAGTGCACAAGGAAGGAGTCACATTAGTCATCTGCAGCCGACATTCCTTTCACTGGATCTTTTTCTCTCATCTGAAAGAGGAAAGAAGTGCTCAAGTAATGATTCTCACGTGTGTTATCTCAAAATTTATCAGTATGGAACATTAAGACATTGATTATATCTCAGCACCTCAAATCAGTGATTGTGAAATGCACATGCAGGCATCACTTCTGGTTAAGCTGCGGGTTGGCAGCACATTTGGAACCATTATTCCAAAGGGCAAGAGTGTACATGAAACTGTAATGAAATATCCTGAGGCATGAAGGGAGAGAAGGGTGCAGGGCAGGACACAAACCCCAGAACAAGGTTCTCATTATTACCAAACTTGTGTTTCTCAGAGTAAGAATGCTGTTACATACCCCCACTACCTGCTTATGGTACTTAGAGCTATAAAAACCTTTTACTCAACAGGTTTCTGGCAACTAATGAGGACAAAAATCGACCATTCAGCTTTGAGTAAAAGCAAACAGAAGATATTGAGGCAGTAAATGAATCATTGCCACTCAGCCCCTCATTACCTGTGGTTCAATACATTTACTGCCTCAACAACAAACAGAAGGAGAATTCCATAATGATTAGGAGGAGATGCCAGCACGATGGACTCATGGCAAATCATTCACAGCACACACAGCATGACCTAAATAGCAGGAGCACAAATCACACCATGCCCTGACAATGCAGCAGCCTTTCCTCTCTCTGTGCTGGAGAGAAGCAGCTTCTCACACATCCCACACCTGCCCTGCTTTGCCACTGACCTCATCCAGCTGTCTCTTGGTCTCCTCCTCCATCCTACGGATGTCCTCCATAGTCAGATCAACCCACTTATCGAGCCAGCAAAAGAGCTGCCGGTGGAAGTTTGTGAAGAGCCTCTTTTCTTGCTGCAAAAGGAGGAATAAAACACAAACCAGCTTAGTCACAGGGCAATTACCATGGAGCTCACAGCACTGGAACAATTTTCAGAGATGTGTAGAATCAGCTCCCTCGCCCACCTTTCCATCGAGCTGCCACAATTGGAAACTGGAGATAGCTAATTTTTATTCTTTTATCAGAATATCTAATCTGGAGCCTTGAATCCCCAGAGAAATGCCTTTTTTTCCCCTCCAAACCTAGACAGCAGTCTGCACACTGCACTGAAAGAATTAGTGAATTTCCTTTGATTTGACAGTATTGTTCTGACTCAATAAAGTGCTCCAAGCTGGGTTTACTTAGAGCACAAAAGTTGGTCTGGAAGTGCAAAAAAAAGGAGAAACAGGTATTTTTAAAATCCTTTACTTGCTAAAAACTATAAGTTAGGAAATGTAAAGGGCTCGCATGCACCTTTTTTTTTTTCTTTTGAAGTGACCTAAAAAAATGCCTAAACTTGTTTTTCACAGCTGAAAACCTTTCAGCACAGGTGACTAATGTGCACAAACTACTCCAGGTTTGGAGCAATTTATTTCCATTTTATAAGAGATAAGGTAGGCAAAATCATTATATTAGACAGGGATATATAATGCCTCTTGGAAAGACCTCATTAAGGAAGGACACTTCAGTTTTTTACCAATTATGGTTTCATATCTCATCAAAAGCAGCTTGAATACTTTGATGCAAGCCTGTAGATACTCATAAATAGAAAGGGATTGGAGACACTGCATTATTCAGGGCTTTTGTTAGAGGTATTTGAAATCCTGCAGCACCATGGTCATTCCCCCTTGGAGCTGCCTTGAATTGCTTTTGCAGAAGCAGCTCTGTGGTTTATCAATAATAACCACTGAGAAGTCTCTGATCTGAAGGCACAGGAGTTTGATGAGCACAGCACTCCCTGGAAAACCACACACAACCATTCCCAGGTGTAGCATCCTGCTGCAGCTCATGGGTCATAGACTCTGCCACAAAAAAGCTCTTTTCAAGACACCATTTATGTTTTAATTTAATGATGTTTCTCACCATCTGCTTATTTTTAACACAGGTTTTTCAAGCAGCAGACTGGGAGAGGAAAATGTGACCAGAGCTCCAGGACTTGTCAGAAAGATCCCCAGCAGAAAACTGAACCCAGCTTTAACTGAGTGCAGAATTTCAGGCATTGCCTGCACAGCAGGTGGGTGATGAGGTGTGCCCCATTCCCACATCTCCCCCCATCCCACAACTTACCTTCTGTATAAAGTTCTCCACTTTATTTTGCAGACCCCACCACTTGAACTTGACTGTTACCAGCTTGTAAGCACACATGTATGGACAATCTGACTGCTTCCCCAGGTCCTTCTGCAAAGGCACAAAGATATCCACATTAATCCTCCACCAAGTGTCTCCAGGAAAGCAGCTCCTTCAGTCCTAACTGCAAAGTCTTCCCACAGTTCCCCACAATCCTCTTGCATTGTTACACCTTTCTGATATTTTATTGACAAGTTTTGTCACACCTTTGCTCACCCTTTTTCAAGGCATGATGAAACTAGACCCTGGTTTCCTTCACAGGTGGCTTTCCCTCCATTCTGAGAACAGACTATTCCTTCCTCTCCTCTGTTGTCCACTCTTTCTTCCATTAAAATTATGTCTTTCAGCATCTTCACTCTTATACCACGGCTACTTTGCTTCCTTAAAAGTCTCTCCATAAAGTCCCTACCTAAAACATTTTGGAATTAGATCATCTGAGTCATGATTAGAAAGTCTTAAAGAAAACTCCACAAGGTTTCCTATTCCCATTACAGGAGCCATAACCACTCTTCCCAAATGAATCCCATCAACCTCAGCTCCTGCCAAGTTTGCCTGATAGGAATCAGAGCTGCACACCAGGAGCTCCCCAAATCCCACCCAGGGTCCCTTTTAAAGATTGGCATTATATCTGCACTTGTAATGTCTTCAGATTCCAAGGATTTCAGTGAAAGGTTACACACTGCTGGTCATTACTCAGCTATCTCATACTTAAATTCTCTTGGGTGAACCCTTGGGCTGAGCAGCAGACAGCTCTAGAGATTTCCTGGAACTCATTCTCTTTGTACCAAGCTCTTTCATTTCTTTTAAAATCAGAACAGATTCAGGTCTGAGTTTTGTATTTCCTTCTGCTGAAGGGATTCCAGTGTTTTCCAGATGTATCTTTGGCTCCAAACCCCAGTATCTGTACTGATACAATTCCTGAACTCATCAATACAAACCTTCCAGTTGGGACCCAGAGGTCCACGTCCAGTCTTGACAGATTTAAACCTTGCTGGATCTTCTTCTGCCTTGTAATCCTGTTGGACAGACACAAAGATTAAACACAAGTTATCCTACTGTTTTCCAGCTGTTCTTTCACACTAAGGATTTATTTTCCTGGCCCAACGCTAACCTCTGCCTTATCAAGAGCTACTGTTTTCAGACCTCAACTTTAGGTCAGACACTCTCCAAGGAAATGTCTTCAAAGATGAATTGTGTTGACACTGACATGACACTGTGTTGTGTCCTAGGCCTATGAAGAAGTGGTAACAAACTGCTATGACCTTTGTAAGGCTATCAAAGTCCTGTAGGATGTTTCCTGTAACCACTTGTTCTCTGGGAGCTAAACACTGCTGTTACACAAAGCAGCTGTGCTATCTAGGACTGTTCACAGCACGGTATCAGTGTGATGCTCACATGCTGCTCACTAGAAGAAAAGTACAGACAGACTCACAGTACTACCATGAAAATGGTATCAAATACTGTTTGTAAATCAGGAAACTCAACCAACATTCTATTTTTGAGCAGCTGATTTTTCTTTCCAGTAAAGAAACACCCTTTTCTTCCTCACAGTAACTGGAGTGGTTCTTAGAACCAAGTACTGCCTACATCATTTCCAGACACACTTGTGAAGCCATGGGTCAGTCTCAAAAAGAGGGAAGTTTAGGAGAGATCCTGTGTGGAAAGGGGAGTGCCATTTCCTGCTATTCAAACCCTTCAGTCAGCTGCACTGCTGGAGAAATGCTGTTACATGCACAGGCAACACATTTTACAGGCAGTGCTGACAGTTTTCAAAAGCTTTTCCTCTGGCTTGCATGAGCAGTTTTAAGGAAGGCCTTTCCTCCTCTGTGCATCCTCCCACTTGTCCTGCTGCCTGTGACCCCCCCTGGAAGCACAGTTTGTCCCTGATCCCCCCCAGGGGCTGTTACCCACCCACCATACCTTGGGCAGTACTTGGCTCCTGTCAGCAATGTCTATATAAATGGCTTCTACACTCTTCCATACCTCTGGCTCCAGTTTATGCACCTGCAGGGAAAAACACAACACCCAAGGAGCTGCTTCAGTGACAGAACACTCCCAGCCTAAGAAAATAAAAAGCCAGATGGAAATGCAGACAGCCAGTGCTCCCCTTCCCACCCACAGAGAGGCAAACACACAGTGGGAGTTTCTAAAGAAGCAAAGGTGCTCGCACAGAACAAGTGCTTGGGGTCAATTTTATTCAGTTTATGAGAGAAGGCAAGAGAAGGGAGTCTGCCTTGGTAGTGAGACAAAGATTTGAAATGCAGGAACACAGTGGAGAGACAGCTCCACACAGCACTGCTCTAAGCCAGCACAGAAAGCAGCACTGTGACATTAAAGAGATGAGTAAAACACATGACACAAGTACTCACATTCTCTTGTGTTCCAAGATCTGATTTATGCCAGGTTTCAATTTTGATCAGGAAGTCATCCTTCATATACTCATTCTGTCATCAAAATAAAGCTTCTTGTTATTCTAGGATATGTAATTATATAAGACAAATATATAATTTCTCTTCTTATTACACAGATAAGCATTAGGAGAGTCAACTCAAAGAACTAAATCAAAGGATGAACTTTCCATTTGACTGGGGTCCAACTTAGAGAATTTCAGAATTATTTGTAACCAGATCATTGCTTTCAGCAAAATTGACTGATCATTAATTACTCAGGATTAAATAAACCACAAGCTGTTCACAAAGAAAACCACCATAAATTCTATTGTTTTAGTGAAACATTTGGAGTTTATAAACAGCTTTTTCTTGAAAGGACAATATCTGCCACTCTATTTAGAGTTTAGAAGGGGTAACATAAGTTAACTGGGCAGAAACTGTCTTTCCACAGAGATTATTGATCTAGCACTAAGTACATATTTTGATGCAACTCTTCAAATTAATAACAATATTAAAGTGATGTGCTGAGAGCTCTTGACACTGAAAAGGAAGGGACAAGAAGCACAGTTCTGCCAAGTAAGCAAAAAACTTTCCATTTCTCACTATCACTGTGAGTAGCAAAGGACTCCCAAATGTAACCCTATCCTCCCTCAGGGGAGCAGAAACAAAGGCACAAGCCAGTGAAACATTCAGCATGTAGAAAGGAAATATCAAATTCAGAAGAGATTAATCAAGGGGACAACATGGCAATAAACTGGTTTTTACTCAGTTTACCCAAGCAAGGGCTTGCTGCCATTTGTAAAGCTGAGCTTTGCTGAGCACAGACAGATCTCTGTCCATGCTCACATGGACACACCACCCTTGGTAAGGGCAGCTCATCTATGTGATCTTACAGTGATAAAAGCTAAAGGTTTTATCACAGGGTAAAGAGCTTCTCCTACCCAGAACTCTTCACTTCAGACATTATTCCACAGATTAGCAGTAAAAGCAATACTTACTGTAATAACTGGTCCAAGGAATCAACACATGGAAAGAAAGAGACACAGTACTTTAGTGAGGAAAGACTGTACAGCAACCACTGCCCTCCTCCCACTCTCAGCTCCAGCTTCCCAGGTACCTCTGAGGGAAAAGACACAGAAATTGATAAAACCCAGCTAACTTCACCCCCTTCTCCTCTGGAAATTCTCAGAGAAACCCAGAGGAGCAGCAATTAATTATGCACTGCCACTTGTGCTCCCTGGCCTGCAGCCAGCTGGAGGAGAAGATGGAATGAGTATGTTCAGCTGACAGCATTTTACCAATGCTCTCTCAGCTTGCAGATAAGGAGCCTCTCCACAGCTCCAAAGGAAACCCATGCTGGATTTCAGGCCAGAGCAGCCCTGCCTGGAGTAACCAGACCCTCTGCATCTCTGCTGCTCGTGGTAACTGAGCTCCCTGGACACCCAGGCTCAATTATTCAACACAGAAAAGCAATTAAAGATCCTGTAATAGTTAGCAGCTGCTCTACCTGAGCAATTCTACTCGAGCAGAAGGAAGTCTGAAGCTGGAGGTGAAGTTCTTGGTCTGTTCTGAAGTCTAACATCAGGGCTTGATTAAGAAGCAATTTGGTTTTAAAGCTATTATAACAATTTTTGAGTTTTCAATCCAGCATCCTGCAGACAGTTACCATCCCAAATCACCTATCAGGCACATCCAGCTGCCTTAATTACCCACTGCTGGGCTTGGGCTGTTCTGAACCCCTAGCATGTGAAAATTGCTTTTCACAGCAATTTTACAGACAGCCAATTATTCAGACTGGCATGTTGGGCTGGAGGGAGAGAATAAGACAGCAGAGCTGAGGCTAATTTTTCAAAGGCTGAACTTCATCTCAATGAACATTTCATTATTTCTGTAAGAAGGAAGTGGGGTTTCTTTCCTGCTAGTCCAACAAAATCTGAATAAAGCAGCAATAATTATAAACCAGGGCCTTCCCACTTTGCCATGACTGTGTGCTGGGACTATGCAGCTGCCTCAAAACAGGTTCCTTCACCTCCTTAACTCCTTCCCTGTGGGGAAGACTCCTCATTTGCAAGGAAACAAATTAATCTCTTCAGAAATGTCCACTGAAACTTCAATGCTCAGCTTGCTACAAATTAGGACCTGCTTCTTGAGGCATTACAGCAGCAACTCCTGCATGTTTCATTGCAGTCATAACTTCTCAGTTTCTTGACATTTGGCCAAAGGCCATGGTTACACTCACAGTGGAACACACATCAAATTGCTTTTCTAAAAACATTTAAGCAACATTAATATTTAAGTCAGACTGCAGAGAAGAACACCGTTCCCCTTGGCACCAGCCCACAGGTACAACTCTTAGACAATCCCCACTTCATTTCTACTGCAGAAGTTGTGAAACCATACAATAACAACAACCTCACTTATAGTTTATACTCTCAAAGGAACTAAGCAAGGCTTCCATTCAAAGTACATAAAAACAACATATTACAGCACAAGGAAATGTGCAGAACTGCAGAAAGTTATAAGCTAGGCATTGAAATTCCCTCAATCTCTATTACTACTTTGATAATGGCCCATAATATGTATATTAATTGAGTTTCTCAGAGGAGATATAGGGAAATGGAAGAAGGATGCAGTCATAATAATTAAGGAAAAAATACCACGAGGCACAATTAAGTAAAAGCACTGCTTTATTCCAGTTTAGAAGGCTCTGTGCAGAAGCAAGCTGTGCTCCAGGGACAGCACAGCAACACCAGGAGGGCACAGGCAGAGGCACCAGCAGCTCCTACACTCAGGTTTGGCTCCCACTGGGTCCCTGGCTCTTAAATTGCAGATTCCAGTGAGAGGGCTGAAAGCCTGGCTGCTCTCAGCCAGCACAGCATTTTCTGCTGCCCAAGGATTCACAGCAGGGCACCCAAGTCTCCCCACATCCAACCAAAACACCTGAGAGCATCCAAAGGAAAATGGTCAAAAAGGCAA